AAGAGTTCACAGAGGTCAGCTCTCCCGAGAGCTCCAGCAGCTTAGGAGAGAATGAAAATGAATGGGAAACGGTGGCTAGACACAAGGTCAAAATGGATATAAAATTCTCCATTATGATATGAAAAGCGAGTGGAGAAAGGAGGGAGCTTCGGATGTCAGAGGGAAGGATTGCTTTTGAGGGCTTGTCTTTGTGTGAAAACAAAAGGAGCCGAACAGCGAGTAGCCAACGCTCTTGTAAAAGCAATCACCCATGCTTGTCAAGTATGCTTTCCACTTGACGATTCGCGCATTTGCTAATCACTGAAGTTCTAGAATTAATCGATCATTTCTATCTGAGAGGCATAAGCAGGTTAAATGGCAAAGAATGTGTAAATGCGATTAAGGAGGAACCGTCACGCAGATACTATGCAAGTGTGAAATGCTTCCAGTCTGTACTGTGAAATAACACTGCTGTTGACAGTTGAGCTGCTGTGAAGAATGAGTGGGAAAACGACACTAAACAAGAGGAGATCTGTGAAATATGATCCTGCAGACCTATTTGCACATCAAAAAACTATTGGATGACGGAATGATATCATCATATGGGGTTTTTTAATGGAGCCTGGGGAAAATTTGGGTCATGGAGCTGAGACAAGGAAGTCTATCATTCCTCATTCTCAGTAGAAAGCTAACATTCATCTGTTAGTATTCCTATTCATCTCAACAGCAGTTACTCAGCTGGTGCAGGACCTCCCAGAAGTACACTGCAATAAGTTTTTTCTTTGAGGGTTGATTATAAGAGCTGCTGACCCTAGGCGCAACAAGAACCACAAGTGCACAAATCTAAACTTTTCATGAGGAAATGTCCTTACATGAGTTGTAAATTTAAATCAAAGTTGGAGCCTGCATTTTTTTTATACTTCATTTTACATGAGTCACATACTTAGATGAACACTATAAAGTAATTTCAATCAATAAATATTCAGGAAATCTATACACTTACCGGCCACTTTATTAGGTACACTGTACTAGTACCAGGTTGGACCTCTTTTTGCCTTCAGGACTGCCTTAATCCTTGGTGGCATAGATTCAACAAGGTACTGAAAAATTCTTTAAATATTTTTCGTCCTTATTGACATAATAGCATCACGTAGTTGCTGCAGATTTGTCAGCTGCACATCCATGATGCGAATCTCTCATTCCACCCCATCCCAAAGGTGTTCTATTGGATTGAGTTCTGGTGACTGCGGAGGCCATTTGAGTACAGTGAACTCATTTTAATATTCAAGAAACCAGTCTGAGATGATTTGTGTTTAATGACATGGTACGTTATCCTGGTGGAGGTAGCCATCAGAAGATGGGTACACTGTGGTCATAAAGAGATGGACATGGTCAGCAACAATACTCAAGTAGGCTGTGGTGTTGAAACAATGTTCAATTGGAACTAATGGGCCCAAAGTGTGCCAAGAAAATATCCACCACACCATTACACTACCACCACCACCAGCCTGAACTGTTCATACAAGGCGGGATGGATCCATGCTTTCATGTTGTTAACTCCAAATTCTGACCCTACCATCTGAATATCGCAGCAGAAATCAAGTCATCAGACCAGGGAATGTTTTTCCAATCTTCTATTGTCCAATTTTGGTGAGCCTGTGTGAATTATAGCCTCAGTTTTCTGTTCTTAGCTGACAGGAGTGGCACCCGGTGTGGTCTTCTGCTGCTGTAGCCCATATGCCTCAAGGTTGGACATGTTGTGTGTTCAGAGATGTTCTTCTGCATATTTCAATTGTAATGAGTGGTTATTTGTGATACTCTTCTAACATCAACAAGGCATTTGCGCCCACAAAACTGCCGCTTACTGGATATTTTCTTTCTTTTGGACCATTCTCTTTTAAACCCTAGAGATGGTTGTGCGTGAAAATCCCTGTAGCAATTTCTGAAATACTCAGAGCAGCCCGTCTCGCACCAACAACCATACCACGTTCAAAGTCACTTAAATGTCGTCCCCATTCTGATATTTGGTTTGAACTGCAGCAGATCATCTTGACCATGTCTACATGGTTAAATGCATTAAGTTGCTGCCATGTGATTGGCTGAGTAGAAGTTTGCGTTAACAAGCAGTTGGACAGGTGTACCTGATAAAGTGGCCGGTGAGTGTAGGTTTCCCATAGTTTAATTTAGTTAATGCTAAGGTTCTCATTTTAAACTCCATTATTATTAGAGTTATGAAAATCTGTCTGGATAAACTGAATAAAGGACATATCTTTGTCATATTCAAAAGGAATGCAAAATAATGACAGTATAAGCATTAAATTTTGAATAGTCCAACTCACATTGATGCTACTTTGGAATGTCTGATTCTATATGACATTTTGTTCATTGTGGTCCTAAAGAGAGTAATTTTAATGTTTATAATGTTCACAGTCTTTATTTCACACTTGCCTGATTTCATTATGTTTTCTTTATAGCTCATTAGGTGATCAGTCGTCATTTTGTTTGGCAGTATGTTTTAGGGTTTTTTTGGTCAAAAGATCTATAAGAGACTGAATGATTTAAAAAGCTTAGATGGTGCTTTCTTTTAGGTTACCTCTGTATAATGCATATTACCTACCATTTAAAAACAAGGAAACACTATATTAATTGTAAGTGCCACCCACTGGAATAAATTCTCATTTTCATTCAGCATGTCTACTGTTTCTGTTTCGAGCAGGTATGTTTTATGTAGAATAATTTCATAAAGCTAAAGTCATACCATTTCGTACAAGCAATTATTTCCTATTTTTATATTGCTGCAGATGTGTATAAAGCAAATAAACCTCTTTATTCACATATATTTTTTCCATTTCTTGTCACTTTTGAAAAAAAAAAAAAGTCTAATCAAAAGGACAATTTGCTTGAAAACAAAACCAGAATAAGCCATACAAAATCAAGATTGGTGCATTACTATACATAGCTATTCTCATTTTCATTCAGCATGTCTACTGTTTTTGCTTTGAGCAGGTATGTTTTATGTGAAATCATTGCATGAAGCTAAATTCATACAATTTTGTATTCAATTTTATCAATTTAGAAACGTTATAATCTAACTGAAATCAATAACTACTCATGCTAATGTAGTATCTTTGTTTGGATTGTGATAACAGAACAATCATTTCCCAATTTTAAATAGTTTAAAGGGCCTCAACCAATGGGTTGCTCTGTGGTACCGGTCCATTGTTCACTTAGTACCAGGCCGCACATCATGAATTATTTCCGTTAATTTACTATTCTAGTCTGAACAATCTTTTATTTAGAAAAATCTTTTATTTTAAAAAATGACTGTATTCCCTGGTTACATCTCAGTCACTTGAGCGCCAAAATTTAACCCACAAACAGCAAAATGCGTGAGAAACAGACGTCTTGACAAAATCGCAAACTGCCAAGCAATAGATCCGCAACCCATCCGTCAACAAATCAGGTGATTCCACCATGTCTGTGCAAGCAGATCAACTGCTAGAGATCACAAATAACGGCAGCATTTTAGGGGCCATTCGAATATCGTGTCATTTCTAGAGTTCGCCAAGTTCGTTATTTCCAATGGAAGCGTACAACTTGCGCACAATCGGTATGAGGGCTGATTTGACGCGCTCATGCCTTCCAGATGAACCCAGTTGAATGAAGGCGGGAATTGCACCACGAGCCACATAACAAAAACCGATCAGCTTCAGTTTGTATGGAATATACATATTTCAATAGACTAATTATATCAGACGAACACAGAACACCCAAACACTGCAGTGCTTTGTAATTTTCTTCATTAGTAAAACTTCAGAGTGACAGCAATGTTTTGTCAGCTTGTCATCCTCTGAGAAAACGCCTAGCAACTTGCGAACAACTGCCCCCCGGTCCATGGTAAAATATAAAGATAAAAGATAAAAAGGTTGGGGACCACTGGTTTGAAGCAAATAAATACCTTTATTTATTTATTTATTCATTTGTTTGTTTGGTTTTTCATTCATTCATTCATTCATTCATTCATTCATTCCCATTTCTTGTCACTTAAAAAAAATCTGTAATTTGTTTTGGAACAGGTCAATTTGCTTATGAACAAAATCGGAATAAGCCAAGAAAAATCAAAATCGGTATATTACTAGTAAACATAGCCTTCCTCACTAGACACAGTTGACATTAACAGAGCTTGTCATTAGCAAATTGTTTTGCTATTGACATGATTCTTGACACACTCAGATGGCAAAATACATAATTTATAATAAACACATACACACACACACGCATATATATATATAATATACCTTGATGCAATGTACTATGGCAGTAGTTCTTAAACGTTTTTCATCAAGTACCACCTCAGAAAAAAAAGTGTCTCTCCATGTACCACCAAAATGAGCAGTATTGAAATACAGTAGCGTGGTAGGCCCAGTAAAGCAGATACAACTCTGCACAATTAAAAAAACGTAGCTGAATACCACAGAAATATAAGGCTATATGTCATATTATATACATAATTTTTGATACCTTTTTAAATGTGTGTAGCATGTACATGACATATTTCATTCCTCCACGTACCACTAGAAGCAAGCCTGCGTACCACTAGTGGTACACAAACAACAGTTTGAGAACCACTGTACTATGGGATTGCCTAGTCTACAAATCAAATACTATGCAAAACTACATCATTACAAAAAACAAAACTACAAAAACCTGCTTTTTTTAAGACTTTTTTTAACATTTCCTTTGCTTTTGTGTACTATTCTAGCTTTCCAAATGTTCATTTTTAACATACTGTATAAAGTAGATGACTTAAAATGAATGCTTTTGTATGTGCTATGCAATACTGGCGTAGAATTTGGTTTAAAAATCGAAATGGATTTGGCTGCCTTCCTCCGTTTATTTTTAAAACCGCTGCCTCTGTAGGTTTCTTGCTAGGTCTTTATGCATGTGTTTCAGTGCATTTGAGAGTGGAGAAAGCTTGAACAGATACAGCCAGCACATGAAAAGAGGCAGACAGGACTTACAAATCTTGTGTTTCCCTTTCATGGGAAATTTCACCACCAACTCCTGGGGGTTGGAGCAAATGAAGACAAATGGAGAAGTCGACTCCTCGCTGATCTGGGGATACTGAAAAGAGAGAGAGAGGAAACAATGAGCTGTGTTCAGCCACTTGGTTACCATGCACAGAAAGCATGGCGGCGTTGAAAGGCTTCGCTTCCCTGTAATTGATAGGCAGCACACAGGAGAGGCGAAATTGACTGGCACTTTCATAAGAAAGGTGACATCTATCTAATCTGTCGGGGGAAGGCACAGGTCATCTTATTTCCTCCCGACCATCAGAGAGTCGTATGATTGTATCACGGCATTCAAGAAGCACAAGCTTTTCACAACACTATTTCCTCCCCCCACAACCCCCCACACTAAAAGCGGCAAAAAGAGCTTGACACAATCAGGGCTTTTAAGAGCGCTGCAGATATAAGGTCCCTCTGCATACTTGAGTTGTCTCGCAGGAGATGTGGATAAATTCAGCCACTGCTAGATTTACTTACACTTGTGTTATGATACGCCCACACACTGGATTGAAACGCTTGGGTGGAAATGTTGCTTTCAGATCAGCTGATGAAAGGTTGACAAGCAACACTCTTTTTTTAATCACTAACATTATAGTATAAATGGCTTAAGCATTAAAATGCATATGGTAATTAAACATTTAGTGGATAGAATATAATTTTTTTCACCAGTTCAGTGAAGTTATATATAAATATAAATATTTCCTTGTTTAAATCAATGGAAATGCAACCATTAAGCTCCATTTCAATGTATCGATCAACACAACCAGACCAAAAGATCTACAAGCCAAAGTTTATATTGTGTAACATGCCACTATCTTCAAAAACACAGAAAACTACAGGGAATAAAAAAAAAAACTAAAGATGCCATAATAACTAAAATATCAATATACCAGGCATAGCTGACTAATAAGGCTTCAGTACATGGAAATGCCATACTGTGAGCCTCAATGACCATTGTTCCCTCATTCTTATGTAAATTCCATGATAGTAAAGTCCTGGTGAAAATCAGCCCAATTGAAAAAAAAACCTGGATTGTTGTACATGGGATCATTAATACGTACATCCTAGGCAGCAATTAATTAGGCAATGTTTTCTAGTGAAATTACAACAATGATAATTGCATTTCTTATTTTGAAGGTTTTTTAAGCTTATATTAAACTTACTAAGTATGTGGCACTCTTATTTAAAAAAAAACAGGAGAGGCAAAGAGACTAACGGTGCACTCACACTATGCTATCTGAACTGTGCCCAGGCCCGTTTCTTAGATCATTGTGAATGTTCTGAATCGGGCTCTGGCGCGGTTCAGTTGGCCTGTCCTGGCCCGGTTGGAAGAGGTATGCCAGAGCGCGGTTCACTTGGGCCCAGTACGCTTGTAGCATGAGTGCAAAGCGTGCCTGAGCCCGAAACTGAAGATGAGACGTGACTTTTATGGGACTGTTTCATATAGATTTATTAATCATGCTTACTGTTACTTACTGTCATAGATTATGCCATGTCACACCTTTACTTTTTTCTAAACGTGGAAGCATGGTGAATGGTGGCATTCAATACACTAATGGGAAACAATGTTTAGAAGTTTAAAATACAAAGCATGGCATGGTGCTAGACCTGTCACGATAGTCAATACACTGACTTATCGTGCGATATACGAAAATGAGGGCGATTAATTTTGGAGGCGTGATAAATTGTCTATTATATATAAAAAATTTAAGATGATGTCATCCTTTATCTATCTATCCATCCATCCATCCATCCATCCATCCATCCATCCATCCATCCATCCATCTATCTATCTATCTATCTATCTATCTATCTATCTATCTATCTATCTATCTATCTATCTATCTATCTATCTATCTATCTATCTATCTATCTATCTATCTATCTATCTATCTATCTATCTATCTATCTATCTATCTATCTATCTATCTATCTATATCTACACTGATTATTGTGGGCAACAAGTGTACAAACAACAAAACAATTTGTTTAACTACCCTTCTCATTAGCAATCTCATAGCTTTGTTGATTTTGTAATCATGCAGCTTCTGAGAAGCAAAGCTATTTTATTGATTAGTAGCAACTGTCTCACATTATAATTTAATGTTGTTCCTCTTTTGGAGATTCTTTGTTTCTTCTGTTTGTTAAACGATCTATTACAACTAATTAGAAAGCACAGCACCAGCACACTACTTTAAATGATGAAGTAGCTTAAATGTGGCTATCTATTTTCCCATATAGCTTGAGGTGTCACTAGTTACTTCAAAGAATAAAATAGTTCAGCATTTTCTCTAAATTTGGGAGTTTAGACTGCTACATTATTTGTTCCTAAAAGTCTGGCGAATGCAGCATAAGCTTTCAAATGATAAACAAAAATGTCATCATGAAACAAGTTTTATTTAGATCTTGATTGCTTCATATCCTAGTAAAGTGTCAACCAAACCAAAACAGTGCAGGGCGAATGTAAATTGGTTAAAACAGACACTAGACCTTTTTCTTTTGTTGAATAAGTTTATTTTGCAAAAGGCCAAAACCGCATAGTACTATTGTTTTTTTTTATGCCAAAAAACATTACAATGCTAAAATCACTTTCATATTGGCTTTAAATGCAGTTGTGGGGCAACAGTCTGTGAATATAACCAGGTTCTAATGGTAAACATTTATTAATTATATTGTTTTATAATCGCACTTTATAAAAATAGTCTGAAGAAACACTTTGATTGACAGTCATCCTTTGTGCGTGTCATCAGAGAGGGAAAGCCCCGCCCATTAGTGACGATCACTCTTTCATAAGCATAGCACGTTAGTCTTGTTTGAATCTGCCACTATGCTGACTTAGACATTTGTAGCTCCGCCCTCTTTTGAAAAGAGGGCTTTGAGCACAATCTCATTTGAATTTAAAGCGACAGGCATGATTAGAAGCAAAGCCTAAAAGGGGCAGTTTCAAAGAGTTATTAAACATTAGGGGCTCTATTTTAATGACCAAAGTCATGGTGCAAAAGCATTAACGGGGTGGTCCAGAGTGTATTTTTAAGGCTTGGTTGTGTTTATAAGAAGCAAAGCAATGAGTGCTCATGCTTCATTTGTAGAAAATCATGTTTTTTTTCTCCATATACCTGATTATATACTGCTACTCGGCTTACATGAAAACAACTGTAATATTTCATAGTTCCTCTAAAGGCCTGCTCTCTAGAGGCTCTGATTGGCTAGCTAATATAATGTGCTGTGATTCGTGGATTGGCTCACATCACCAGGAAAAGCATCACGCTTCTACAGGCTTTGCCTCTGCTGTGTAAACACTGTCAGTCAGAGTAGCTGTTAGCATTAAGCAGCTCATCTGTTTAAGCCTTAATCAGACAGAAAAATGACAAAGAGGATACAGCTGAACCTCCTGCCTGCTCTATTGCCATTTAAAGGGCAGAAAAATATGGTTTGTGCCCCAGCGCATGGTCTAACAGAGTTGTGCTTATTCCCTTAATGAGTTAAAGGTGTGGTTTAAACATAATGTGCAATAAACCAATCAGAGTCTCATCTCCCATTCCCTTTAAGAGTCAGTTGTGTTGTGCCATGGTGGATTTGCTTTTTACTTGCAAAACTGAACGCTTTACTAGCAAGAAAACAGTGAAACAGACCATCCGCAGAGTGAGGATAAAGAACAAGCCATTCAGCCTATACTTACTCTTTACTTTTACTCTTTACTCCTTTACTTTCGTTTGTAATTTCTTTTGTTAAGCACAAAAATTTGTTTCAAAACTATTTCTAAATTCAGTTCTAATTTCCAGCAAATAAATAAATGAACAATAATAATGAAGTGTGATAAAAACTGAGTTAAATCCAACCACACATCCTATTCTTGTGCCCCATATGGTGATGCAGACGTCTCCAAAACCGACAGCTGGACAAATCTAAACTTGTTTTTATTGAAATAAATATAAATACTCATATAATAAATACGACTACTACTACTAATAATAATAAACTTATACAAATGCAGATTGTCATGACTAAACTGAAAAAGCCAAAACTTTACAAACACACTTTAGGGACATAAGGGTTTATTTTATATCTTGTAAAAAGGTGCATTATAGCTCCCATTTAAGTACAGATCATTAAAGATTTCATAAAGATTTCCTATAATTTTCATATTGTATATACATCAAAACTCAATTTATGATTAGTAATGTACTGTACATTGCGAAAGACTTCATTTTAACAACTTTAAAGGATATTTTCTCAGCATTTTAATTTATTTACACCCTCAGATTCCAGATTTTCAAATAGTATATCAGTTGTTATGTGATACAAAAATCTCTGATATCTGGTTTTGTGGTCCATGGTTAGAAATAGAATCTAGATAGTTTACTATTAGAATACCTATGTTTAGCTATCATCTAACAGCATTATCTAATAGCCCTTTCCACCACTTGCTACTTCCAGTATGAAAGGGTCTTAATAATAATAATACCTGACATTTATATATAGCTCTTTTCTAGACACTTAAAGCACTTCACACAGTGTGCAGCATCTATCTGGATGACGTGACGGCAGCCATATTGTACCAGACCTAGCTGATTGGTGGACAGGAGACAGAGGGATGAAGACAATTATGATATGGGGATGGTTAGGGGCCATGATGGACAGAGGTCAGTGGGCAAATTTGGCAAGGATGCCGGGGTTAAACCCCTAATCTTTTTCAAAAGAAATCCTGAGATTTTTAGCAACCACAGAGAGTCAGGACCTTAGTTTAACGTCTCATTCAAAAGACGGCGCTCACTAAGCAGTATAGAGCCCCTTCACTATACTGGGGCACTAGGACCCCCCTGCTGAACTCACTAACACCACTTCCGGCAGCAACCTAGCTTTTTCATGTGGTCTCCCATCGAAGTAATGACCAGGCCTGCTTAGCTTCAGTGGGCGACTATGTGAGAGTTGCAGAGAGCAAGCTGCCGGTAATGTGTCTGCTCAAGTATGTGAACACAAATACTGAAACCTTTCTGCATTTGCATAACAGTTTATTTGTTTTTCAGTTATTAAATTCAATTTTGTGGAACTCTC